TTGGCTTACCGCACACCGCCGTCCCCAAATTTTGGCCTCCTTTCGGGAACGCCGGATCGGGTGACGAACAGGATCCGCGGCCATTTTCCCTGCCGTGACACGTGGTCGTGGCTTCCTGTAGGGAGGGGGACTCTCCCTCCAAGGAGTAACCGCCTCCCCACCTGCCTTCTTGTCCTCCACGCCAGAAGTCGCGTCGAGCAAGGTTAGGGTTCTCTCTCTTCGTGCTGTATTTTGTTTCATATTTTTGCGGTTTTAAAAAAAAAATACACATGGTTCAGAACGGATTAACTGTAATTACATTGAACCTTATGGGAAAATTTGATTCGGGTTGCGACCAGTGTCGCGGAATGAATTAAGTTCGTGAACTGAGGTACCACTGTACTCAGTTTAAACTTTAGCGTGAATCTTTTCACTGTGTCCATAAAGCGTACGTTGTAAAAGAATTAGAGTTTTGCTCTATGGAGGGGGGCGGCGCCTGGTCTGCCACTCAGTCCTGTTTAGTGCTCCTCAGATCCAAGGGAGCCAGGCACCGCAGGGCTGGGCCTGGCAGCCCTCTGCTTTCCATCGGAAAACATTTGCCAACCAGGTCTACTCGCAGGCTGAAGTCACCCCCAAAGAGAAGCGAGAGTCAAGACCCTGCCCTCAAGCCCCACGAAGCTGGGGGTCCTCTTTATGTTCAGCTGGAGATGGCAGAGTCAGGCCGTGGCCCACTCCGAGGGCCTCTTGGCTCTGAGGGGCAGAGGATGGAAGCTGAGCCTCTTCCTGGGCTGAAGGGGAGCCAGTCCCAGAAGGGTCCAATTTGAGTAAAAATGACCCTTCTTGTGGCTGCAGCAAGGAGTGGGCTGGGAGATCTCTCTCCTCCCCCACAGGAGGACCACCAGGCATGCCCTCCCCCATCAGCCTCTTCTTTCCTGCTAGACATTTGAGTGACTCGAGCTATTATGGGATTGAGGTCTCTCAAGTTCCCTTGTTTTCTTTCCCCTCTGCATCCCTTTTTTCTTCTGTGTGGTCTCCTTTAGGTTGTAGGTCTGAGGGCAGGAAGCCATTGTTCTGGAAGCTTTTCTTCCTGGCTAAAAAGTGGGATAAACATGCTTAAAGTAAATAAATACCATACCACCTGGAATTTCAAGGGATTTTAATGAACTGGCTATCAAAAAGTACCCAAATGTCAACATGTTCTTGGAGCTTGTTCATGCTGTTTGTGTCCTTGCTTTAAGAACGACCCCGGTCCTGCCTCTTCTGAGAAACAGAAGCAAAGGGGCTCAGTGGAGGCTACCCCCAAATTCCTCCCTTAGTCCTGGGAAGCAAGAGATGGAAGGAGGCCCTTATGAGTTGCATCCCTGATCCAGGGATGGTGTGTGGGACCCCCGGCCTCCGCCTTCTTGACCCCTGGAGAATGCTGTCAGGCTACATGGCCTCAGTGGCATGTCCTCATGGCCTCTCCTTGCCCTCCCCCCAGGCCTCTTGTGGCAGTTGCGCCCAAGTGATGTGGAGGTGGAGCTCTTGACTCACACTCGTAACGTGGTCAGCCGGGAACTGGAAGAAGAGACAGGCCTTCACACAGGGTGGATCCAAAACGGAGGGCTCTTCATTGCTTCCAACAAGCAAAGATTGGATGAATACAGAAGGCTCATGTCAGTAAGTAGGATTGCAGCTTGAGTGTTGGTAGCATCTCTCTGGTCCTTCCTGGAGTGTTCCCCCAAGAGATGCAGCTAAACAATAGCCTCTTTCTTGCTCATGCTGTCCTTCCTTAAGAGCTCTGAGTGGCTTTGCCTGTCTGTTTGCTTCTTTCTGACTCTGGTCAGCTCTCTGCTTTTGGTCTTGGCATCCCTCTTGAACACAAAGATGGGTGTGCTCCCGGTCATCAAATCCTGCCTCCCAAGCTCAGCTTTTGTATGAAGTTCAGGCCACCAGCACACCTCTGAATTTATTTTACTTATTTATTTATTTATTAAACTTGTCCCCGCCCATCTCCCCCCAATGGGGGACTCTGGGC